AAAGAAAGGAAGAAAGAAATGACCTATGGCTGGGGCTATGCTGAGTATCTGAAGAAAGAAGGCTTTGAACTATACGTTTAAAAGCAAGTACTTCTAGGTTGCCACTCCCTGCCTGTGCTTGAGGGATTTCTCTCCGGGTCAAGACAGAGAATGAGTCTTGCATTAAATTAAATTAAATTAATTAATTAATTAATTTATGGCCAGGTGCGGTGGCTCATGCCTGTAATCCCAGCACTTTGGGAGGCTGAGGTGGGAGGACTGCTTAAGCTCAGGAGTTCGAGACCAGCCTGGGCAACATGGTGAAACCCTGTCTCAACAGAAAAATAAAAAATAAAAAAAAATTGTAAAAAATTATTTATTTTCAACTTTTATTTTAAATTTAGGGGGTACACGAGTAGGTTTGTTATTGTGTATACTGTGTGATGCTGAGATACAGGGTACGGAGTCTTGAATTTTAGAACGTGATGAGGCACTTTCAAAGTTGACAGTTCTATAATTCCGTGATTTACATATCAGGGCAAAATTTGAGCATAGGCTCATGATTTCTGACTTGAACCTAAAAGTCTGTGGAATCGGAGGGGGTCATCAAAATGAGAAACTACAACTCCCGGCAGGCCTCGGGGCTGGGTAGTCTTCCCCGCCCCTTCCTTTTTTTTCCGCCAGAGCTGGGAACGACCAATGACGGTTAGTCATTTGAATAGACCAATAACATATTAAACGGTTCAGGTTGAGGAGGGGCGGTCGAGTCATCCAATCGCACGGAAGAGGTGAAAACATATTAGCCAATCCAAATATGTGGGGGCGGGACTAAAGTGGGGCGGTGAAAGAAGTTTGCTGACGAAGATGGCGACTGAGGCACAGAGTGAAGGGGAGGTACCAGCCCGCGAATCCGGCCGGAGGTGAGCTGAGTTTGGTCCAGTTTCCTGGGAAACGCGGCCTTGGGCTGTTAGTCCTGCCGCCTTTGCCTTGGGTCACGGTGACGCACGGTTCGGGCTTTGTTTCCTTCTCCCATGGCGTTTCTCACCGTCGCGCCTGCAGGGGCTGAGGCGCGGGGGTCGGGCCTCGGCGCTGGGCTCCAGCCAAGCCCCCAACTCCGTCCTGCCGCTGCCCGAGGGGGCTCCGCCCGCTGCGCTGGCTGCGGACGTCCAGCTGGGGTGGCAGCGCTGATCGCCTTGGCGCCGAGACTCCTCTTGATGGCGAGGAAACGGAAGACCAGGGCTGTTTAGCGAATTCCTCACTGTAACACACAGCTTTTCACATCTTCCCCAAGGCACTTAGTGCATTCAGGTCCGAGCAAGGATTTGAGTGTCAATTGGAAATGGTGTTGAGTCCTTGGGCCAGTTTTTAAACCTGGTCTCGACTTCAGTTTCTTCATCTGCAAAGGGACATGAGGATGCTTATTTCCAAGAGTCAAGATTGAATAAGACAATCCATTTAAAGCTAGCATTGAGCTTAGCCTATAATGACAACTCTACGCGATAGATTTTCTTCTTCCTAGTTGAACAACTAAGGAGCAGATGTGAGACGGATCTGTAGTCCAGGACATCATGACTTTATTTCCACAGGGTGTTCTTTCCTAAACAGCCACACCGAGATTTAGCGTTTCCAGGAGAGAATTTCGAGGTGGTGTTGCCTTAGCCTTGAGACCTAAGTTGTCTTGATTGGTTGCAATTTTGTTTTTGGTATAATTCAATAGATTGAGTTTATTTACGTTGCTCCAGCGTAACTCAGTAAAATACTTCGGTTTGGCGTCTTTTGGTTCCGTTTGTACCGAATAGGAGATTCCAAGAATCTTGGGAAACTAATGACTTTGTGACCCGACTTCTTCCTGAGCCCAGATGAGCGTAGTTGAGTGTGTTATTTAAAATATGATACGGGGCCGGGCTTGGTGGCTCACGCGTGTAATCCTAGCACTTTGGGAGGCCGAGGCGAGCGTATCACCTGAGGTCAGGAGTTCGAGACCAGCCTGGCCAACATGATGAAACCCCGTCTCTACTAAAAATACAATAATTAGCTGGGCGTGGGGCCCTGTCTGTAGTCCCAGCTGCTCAGGAGGCTGAGGCAGGAGAATGGCGTGAACTCGGGAGGCGGAGCTTGCAGTGAGCTGAGATCTGGCCACTGCACTCCAGCCTGGGCCACAGAGCGAGACTCTGTCTCAAAAAAAAAAAAAAAAAAATTTACAATGTTCTCACATATGTTGCCTCAATTAATCCCTAGGAGCAGTGTGTGCTGCAGGGAGGACAAGGATAATTATGGTTACTCCTACCATTGAGGATTAAAGTTTAGTTTGGGACAAAGTCATGCAGCTTTTGGTTCCATGGTTCATATCACAGAGGCAAACTCTGTGGGTTCTCTGGGAAGCTGGAAGGGAGTGGGTGTATTGAAGCAGAAATGACCGACTCCAGCCCGGCCAACAGAGTGGAACCCTGTCTCTACAAAAAGTACAAAAATTTGCCCTGTGTGGTGGTATGCTGCAATATTGTACTGCGATCCAGCCTGGGAGACAGAGGGAGACCCTGTCTCAAAAAAAAAAAAAAAAAAAAGGAAAGAAAGAAAGGAAGAAAGAAATGACCTATGGCTGGGGCTATGCTGAGTATCTGAAGAAAGAAGGCTTTGAAC